TCCCCAAAATCCCAAAGTCATCAAACAGTCCAAACAGAACACAAAATTCTTCACACTTTTTCTTCCTGGGGTAATATCAGTTGGCAAGGGAAAAAAAACAACCAATCTGTATTTTAAAGTCTCATTACAATTAACTTCCAATCTCAAAATCTTCCAGGCATCTCCTCCAGCAAAATCTTAATGAAAATTTTATTTTTGTCCTCTCCCTTCCCACTTATAACAGAAAGCTTTAAATTTTTACCTTCTATAAAATAGCAGGATTTTCAATATCCATTTGTTAAATCCATGTGGAAGGAGAGTAAACTTTCTCTTAAAACACTTTCACTCGCCGCTTGTAAATCTCTTCTGGAAACAAAATATCTTTCAAAAAATCCAAATTTTCAGGATATTACTTGTATTACTTGTATCTTATAGTCCAGTTCAGCCAAGAAACTTTCGCTTCAGCACTTTCTCTTCCTCCAGCACGATCTTGTCCAGCTGTCAGCTTCTTTGTGGCGGCCATTACAGACCGCCGCTCCACCGCCTTGAGAAAGAGGGTTAAGCCGGGTAGGGAAGGGGTCTGCGAAGACCCCAACCCCCTGTTCGGATCCCTCCTATCTTGGGCTGCCTCTTCATGGCAGCCCTAGCCTCCAGATCAATAGATCGGAGGCATCAAAGCAGCTAGCGCGGCAGGGATCGCGCAGGATCGCAAATCCCTGCCACTCGCGAAGCCGACAAACCGGAAGTCAAGAGCCCTGGATTCTTATTCACAGCATACAAGAAGGCAAAGACCTGCCTTAAATGGGCAGCTATCATTTATTAGGAAGCTAAGTTTCATCTGGGTGCCTGGTTGGGGTGTGTCTGAGCTGAAGGTATCAGGGGGAGTCTGTGCCCAGGTGTTTGCCTGGCTTGTGGTGTGGAGATTTTTTTATTTGAGAGTGCAGGCTTCCAAATAATTGACAATCTGGTGGAATCATCTCTTCTATTCATGCTTTCAGGTCTTTTTTCAATCTCTATGGCTTCTCTGATAATTCTGTAGCTGGGGTTTTCTATAATGGCTAGGGTTTTAGTGCCATTGAAGTCGATACTATGACCTGTGGCTTTCATGTGTTGGACTCGTGAGGAAGTGTGTTCCAGCTTTTTTACTGCATAAATGATAGCCGTCCATTTACTTGGAGCCAAGCCGCACTAAAAGCCTCCAATACAGGAAACACAATGTTGCCAGCCAATCAAGACAAAAAAAGCTACAAAACAGACAGAAGATATTAGAAACACCAATCAAGCAGAACACAGCAAACTGCAAGATCAATAAATACAGACCAAGACTCCCAACAAATCAGGGTGAAGAAAAAACCATCCTGGCACAGCAGTAGGCTAGCACCAAATTTAAAACAGAAATGGCTGTGAAAGTCTGACTCACAGACGAACACTATACAGAAGCCTGATGATGGCAGATGAGATTCTGCTGAAACGTTGCTACAATTTTAAAAGCACAACTACAATGACGTGGGAAAATACCCGAAAAAAGCTGAATACCATACATACGTACATACATACATATATACATACATACATACATACATACATACATATGTGTGTGTGTGTGTGTGTGTTTTCCTGAGTTTTCGCGGGTATTTATATATATGGTATTCAGCTTTGTTCGGGTA